AAAACAGGGTGTCTAAAATTGGGCGGATTCGAGGACGTTTGTGAACAACAAATATTGATGGATAAAGTTCTTGTGAGAGTGCGCAAGGAAACCTACCTTACCATTTACTTAGCGGTCTATATACTAGTGTGCTGTGAGTAAATCCAGAGGTGTAGGAAAGAATGGTGAATGGACTGGACTGAAGAGAAACCGGTGAGTTTGGAAGAAAATATCGAGTTGTCAGATGTTTAGGACTAGGAACATAAACAACCCAAATAGTTGTTGTTTCTGGTACTTGGAAATTAGCGCGCTGGGTGTGGTCTATTCAGCCACCACTAATCACGGGTAAAAGCTTGCGGAAAAAGGTAGAACTGTGCTGGCTATAAGACCGTTCGCATTCAATCAGGCACAACTGCCACGGAATGCCAGGCACTTCTGCTTTCTCTCTCAGTCATGAACACATTTTTTCTTAGGTTTGGTGCACAGTCTTGTCCATTTTCATATCTCCTCCGCTAAGATCCCGTCTCCAAAAACGATGTTTCTACCTTTTAACGGGGGGAAAAGTCAATTTTCATTGCTCTATTTCAATGCTAACACTAGTTGGACAAGAAGGGCGAAACCGGTCGTCGGAAGTCCGAGAGTTTTCAGCAACTTCATGAGTAATGTATTGCGTCTAGGCGTGCATCGCGATGTCTCGAATATCGTACCAACTGAAACATAAGGTGGCCTGGAGCAACACACTCGGTTGCTTAGAAACACCATAAACGGAGTTTCACTTGGGTCCTGTCAAGGCCAAAATGATATTCAAATGAGTCTATTGGTGGGACACATTCGACAACTTGGTACACTATGTGATTGTATCATACTATCCATTTTGTTTTCTTTCTTTTAATGAGTTTCGCTTGTCAAATCTGTGCTGTGGTACACAATACCCCTTGAAATCGCAATAACTGTCTGGTTTTCTAATGAGCCATAGGGGTTCGAGAAACTGTGTGTGTGAAAGAGAGAGCAGTTGTCCCCATGAGTCAGCCTTAAGTTGAATCGTTGCATTTCGTGCGTCTGTTTCGTGTTCATCCATGTATCATTCTTTTTCCCTAGTTAACTGGGATAAATCTGAACCATATGTTGTGCCCCGCCATCACTGACCCATTCGCTGGACCAAACTATCGCCTCATGGCCATGGTTCATCAACCTTCCTTGATCCTGATCCTGGGAAAGTGTATCAGCTGTTTCGGCTTGAGTTGGAGCTCTTCACCTTGGCCTTGGCAGACCTCACTCATGATGATGTGTCCTTCAGAAACGGACACATCTAACAGCTCTTCCTCTAGCGTGACTTCGAATCCTGGGAAACTTCGCTGGCTAAACTCGGAACCGGAGTCTGAAATGATGACACTGGCCGCCACTCCATGGTGTTGGTCTGACCTATTTCGCTATCAGACGTATGTGTGCGACCGACAACTCCCAGGCAAATCAGCAAATTATTCAACGGGTAAGGAGGTTCCGAAACACGAACACGATCCAGAGTTGAGTCCGGTGGATGAGGTTTGTCGCCGCACATCGTCCAGTTAGCAAAAAAAGACATTCATTATTTTGTGATTCCTGCACATTTTACATATCTATCCGACCTTGATAACAGAGCAGCTCCGTTAAGCCCACCACGACGATTGTTTCCAGGATCTGTTCCATTGCCAGTATTTATTTCTGGTGCTGGTGGTATGTCTTAGTGAGTCTCAGTTTCCCTCTTTACAAAGATTTACTTCATATTTTTTATTCCGATCGTCCACATGACACGTTGTACCTTGTTGCCTTTTTTGTCCATTTCTCCTCTACACTAAACGGGTATCGTCTGTCCACTTCTCTTCCAAATCGTTTGCAGATGTTTTTGCTTTCCCTCCCGGACGTCGTTTCTTTTTGCGCATAAATTGGTTCATTCATCGCAGTTTTTCGGAAATTACTTTGCTTCCATTCCGTTTGTATTCCCATTTTGTTACGCACCGTGTCTCTCAGTTAGCCACACGAAACTCCGGCAAGATTTCCTGTCCGGCCTTGTGGTGTCCTAATTTAAAATTTTATGTTGGACGAGCTGTCTTCTTATTCTACACTTTGTTTGAATGTGTGCCTGTATGCATTGTTGCTTGGGCTTCAGGACAATAACAGTGTCATCGTCTGACAGCTAACTGGCCACTAGCTTGCGCTCTAAATATGACTCACGTGGGCTTGCCGATGATCTTTGTTCTCTTTGCCTTCATCATGTTTAACACCTTTGGATTTCGTTGTCCTCTTCCACTCACCCTAGCTAACAGAATAACCATCTCCAAGAGAAACTCCGAAGGTGAGCGTTGTCATTCAGGGGACCAAAACGGTATCTCCCGACAGCATCCAAATGTCAAATGAAGCACCATCCGCAGAGGGAGGTCATTCTCAGGAGATGCCGAAACACGTCACAACGTCTGTCTTCTGGAGAGCTACTGTACGAACTCAACGCCTATGAAGGCAACTCATAGACAGTGGGTACATCGGGAACCTGATTCCAGCCCACTTCGGTTTCAATGCAAAATGTCAGTGGAATCACCGTGTTACATTGTTGTCCTCTTAGTCACCGTTACGAAGTGATCTAACAGCTGACCTTGGTCGACTAAACCAATACCTCGGGCTCACCGTGCATGGCCAGATGTGCTCAAGTTTGGTCCTTGATCTGACAAGTTGTGCGCTATGTCAGCTATCTACAAAGTTATATGATACCTATGGCTAGTTGCCTGACTTTGTGGAACCGCGTTCACTCACCTTCTTATATATAATGTTTGTATGCGGACGATAGTTCTGCGGTTAAGCTACAATAAAAGATAAGTAATAGAAAAGAGTTTCCTCCTTATCCGGACTAGAGTATTGTCCTTGGCGATGAGCTCTAATCCGAGCTGTGATTGTTCAATCCATGGGGCGATCATGCAATAAGCATGTCAAAACTTGAGTACCGTCGAGTTGACTCGCAGTATATCGCCGTAGGTCATTCACGTAATCCAGTGTCTGCTATATTAATCGTGCGGTACCCTATTTATGATTGATGAGGTTACCAGGCGCGAACGACCAGGCACCGCAGGTGATGGTGGGTATCCGTTCAGTTTTGATAGCGACGATAATAGCTAGATTTCTCACTTACTGAGGTCCGAGTACTTCGTTGCCAGGTTAATATGTGACTTCCTTCAGACTTTTCAACTCATAAATCGGCTATATGGTGTTGCACCCACAAACCAAGACACCTTAAAGTTGCCAAAGCACGGGAACATTTGCAGCATTTTGTTTAGACTAGGAGGGATAGTAATAGTCAAATAACAAAACAATGTCGCTCGCACAATCTAAGTTTCCTCGTCTTTCTTCGGATCTCATTCCCACTTCTAGATTTCTCCCTTCAATTGCATATTCTGTGATTGCACCGCTTACAAAGTTGAGGGGAAGAGTGATTTCGGGCGGCCTTGATGAACCTTACTAGTTGTGCGTAAGCTCTTGAATGGCATGGGGCGAGATGGATCAGTGGTTAGAGTGCGCATTTAGCGACCGGAAGGTCCGTGGTCTCTCTTATCTCGACTTCTGTCTAGGCTCGGGCAACCGGGTAATTTGCCAGCCCCGGTGCTTCCTTTGGGTGGCCTGGCATCAGTGCACCGGAAGAGTGTTTCAGGTGGACGATTGTTGTTGCTATCTGTATTATCATCGACAGCTCTTTCTAAACTTAAACACAACCATATAAATTCCCTTATTAGGCACGAAGTAGATGTAAAGTGAATTCCTATTTGTCCAACTGCATTTGGAGGTGCCATTCTATCTATAGGATCAAAAGCCTCATTGAAATCAAGGAAAGCTTCGACTTTTAGTGTATGTAACTTTTCTCAAGTATTTGTGACGGGGTAACCGTATGATCACTGCAGCCCCCTACCTCGACGAAATTTTGCTCGATGACTCACATGGCAAAATTATGTTTCCCAGTGTCTTGGAAACTAGCAGCCGTGTTACGAGATCTATGACCGAGTTAGTCGTTTCGGATGTTTCTTTTAAACAAAGGTGCAGAGACGTATTAGCTCCACTCCCCTGTAGACAAATTCTTTTTGTGCGTAGCACACAGTTGGACTTCGTGTTCCGTACTGGGAACATCCTTCCCATAGGATCTTATTTGTCTTGTAAAGGAATTCCTTCCAGATCAAACAGTGGATTATAGTGCTCGAGATAGCTCAGTGGTTAAAGCGCCAACTTACTGACCGGAAGGTCCTCAGCATTTCGAACGCTCTTGTCTAGGCTTGAACAACCTGACAGTATCTTAGCCCTCCTTTAGGTGAGATGGCAGCTAGGCACCGAAATCGTGTTGCAGCTGAACGATTGTTGTCAGTGCTCAATGGATGTTATGTTTGGACAGATTGATGCCCTTTTGAATATGCGGGACCTACCAACCCACACATGTGTTTCTTTTTTTCAGCCCCACTATGGTGCCAGGACTTACTACCACCGTTGATCAGCACAAGCTTTCTTCCTTACCGAGTGATGGTGTCACCGCTGTCCAGTTCCAACCAGGCAAAGCGACACCTCAATTTCTGGTGGCCTCTAGCTGGGATTGCACTGTACGAATCTATGATGTGGCCTCAGGAAGTCAACGAATGATGTATCAGCATAGTACTCCTGTTTTAGACACCACATTTTCCGACACGGTCCATGTGCTAAGTGGTGCGCTTCGTGGTGATCTGAAGTTGTTTGACTGCAATACGAATCAATGTGAGTGGTTAACCCGGTCACACACACGCGTCCTACCTCTTAGTCTGTATTTTTTTGGGCTCGACGACGTTTTGGGGATTTCTGTGGGTCTTCTCCGTTCTATTTTCGTATTTTATCTAACTAAGCCAGATTGACATAAAGAAAAAACTGACCGGCACCACAGCTGGTCCATGCTTGCTAGTAAGCATGCATAATGAGATGCACAGTGCTTAGGGTTTGCGTAACGGCTCAAATTGCATTGCCGAAAGGGGTTTACAGCTCCGCATTGCATATTTTGTTCGTAGATCTTTTAGGAATTTCAAGATCCTCTGAATGATTGATTGTGGATCTTGAAGGTTTATTTAGATAGAAAGTCCCTGACATCTTTAAAATGAAAATAAACAGTGCACACTTCATCTTTATCTGGCATACCATCCTCCAACTCCGTTGCTTTTGTTCTAACACATTTCGGGTTTCTTGATACAAGCAGTTATAATTTTAAACTGAGATTTCGGCCTGTGAGTGAAGCTAATCTATGCTGAAAAGCCGAGAAGTACTGTATATATGTTTCATCCTTATTGGCAATCACGGGCAGTCTGCATCCCACGAGCCCCCCGAGAATTTCGAAGCAACGACCTCGCGGCTGGTAGTTTGAACAAATCCATTCGGCCACCAGCAACTAAATTCATTAGATAAACCAACTAAATAATCATGACCGACTAAATTGGTATCCTAACTTCCTGCGATCCTTCTGAATGCTTGAAGAAATGGGGACTATAACCACCGCCTTTGGAAATGTAACTCTGGTTTTCCAATGACCGGAGCAAATCGCTTGAGCCGTATTCAATTGTATTACTTTAGACTTTAACGTACAGTTACGTCTACACAAACATCGCTGTTTCTCTGGGTGCGGGGGCAGTTTTCTGCTCAGCTAAGATACGTTCTTGTCAATTTGTAAACGTGAGCAGATCGTTTGCAACGAGACTGTAAATGGTATTTTTAACGACCATGTATGTGCTCGAATTTAGTGCACACAACATTTTCAGTTTGCTCTCATTGTTCGGATGTGGTACACGCACTTTTTGATTCGTGGTCCAATAAAATATAGTCCGCGTTATCTGAGCTTATGCTCATGGCGGTGACCTGGCTAGCGGCAAAGAAAGAGGAATATTGTAGTCCTTGGTTTTCACATTTTTCACACTGGTTTCCTCACTTTCCCATTCTTTGCAGCTATTTCATCCAAATTCATGTCCTGCCGCGAAAACACTAGTCACATGGACTTCTGATATGTGTGAAAAAGATTACTGTCATTTAATAATGTTAAACTGTTTATTTGAGAATGCTTTTAAGATCTCAAGTCCAAATGTTACCGAAATTATGGTTTGAGTCAGCTTGAATATTTCAGCTTGCCAGTAGACTTCCGTGTATCTTTCCGAGATGTATACCAATCCATGCGTAATGGTCATCGTGGTTATAAGCCATGGGTATATGTGAGCTGAGGTACTGCCACTACGTTCAGATCTAAACAGCAAACACAAAGTTCTAAATCAGAGATCTTGATTCAAAGACCTGAGCATAAACTGTCGACAGTCGGCCGAGGACCACGAGAGTGGAGGAGTTAGGAACAGGGTACCACGTTTGTTCCGAACCCGAAACCTACAGGGCTGGGATATCTAGATCGACTGAGCTCCCTCTTGAGAAATGTTCTACGGATATTGCCTGAGCTTTGTCCAGCTCAATTTAGCTTGCTTCTCTACAATACTGTTCAGGAGGACGTGCCAATCGTTTCTTGTCGGCAGATTTACTACGAATTCGTGATTATCCTATTATCCAGTAATACTCAAATACGAGCGACAAACCGTGGTCGAGCAAGGTAGATGTAATTTCATGCGAAATAGTAATAAGTTATAATCAGATGTTCTCCGGGAACTTGATCGGTCTCCTATTCTCATACCTCACCTAATTCTACCTTCTGTTTTTACTCTTTTGGACCCCTATTACAACTGTTCCACATCACTATCATGCACTCCTTTTCGTGACACTCCTTTCATGACACTCCTTTTCGGGATTTCGGATAGCATAATTCCCCTCACCTTCGTTTCTTCGTGCGCAAGACATTCGTGTAACAAAATTTGCCTGCTTGTAGGGGCGTTTGCTTCGTTGGAGATTATTGTACTTGTTTCATCGCATCGATATCGGAGTGCTAACTCAGGTAGGCATAGTGTGGTCAGCTCTTTGAGCATTTCGCGCTGATTGGACAGATCCGATGAATGTAGCCAGTTCGACCGTGTGTCACTGCTTAACAGTTTTTCACCGCTCATCGTGTCATTACAGGACCAGTTATCGTGCTTGCGCCTTAGCAACTACACACACCATTCCAACTCCACAATGTTCCGCTTCTGACGACTTCGAAAACCAATTTTAAAGTACACACTTTCCCAGAAGCCACCCAAATTCGGAAATAAGACCCAGTACCTCTGTGATAACGTCATTGGTCGTATGCATCACTAGACTGTTTACCATCTCTGGACTCGCAAAGGTTTCCGGTTTTTACAGATCGAGACCCTAGACTGTCTAAGAGGTCAGTGTTCTGGTATTACCGACTGACTGCAATTGTTATTTCAAAAACAACAACCCTAGAACAGTAGGCATGTTGCCGTGTGATGTTCGTTTTCTGTTAAAAGACTCCAACCAACTGTTTACTCAATTGGAACAAATTTTAGGCAGTTGGATCACGTCAGATTGCCGCTTCTTTCCCCCATTTTATCAGAGGAACTCGGACTGATGTGCCTGATGCTTGAAGTAAACCTGTCTGCGTCCTCTGTCTGTCCTCTCCACGAGTCATTTTAATAGGTTTTAACGGTGTTAGTCGAACGTCACCAACTTCTAGGTGTTGGGTGTGCAAAGAGAACGTGTCTTTCGGTTTTGACGACACGTTCTAATGGTGTGATCACAAACGTCGGTACTTTGTTGCCATCTGTTAGCTTTGGGAAAGTGCTTGGCTTTGGAAAACTTAACCATCTCTGGCACATGTGAGGTCTTTCATATATTTTGTGTCATTCGTTTCAACTTCATACTTGTATTTTTCCTGCAACTCCCACCCATCTCATTCAGCCCAACAGCTAGGATCTTGCACTCGCGCTATCAGCACTATGCACTACAACCCAACTATCCAGGCTTGTATAACCGGCAGTTGGGACTGCACCGTTCGTATGTGGGATCCTCGAGCGTCATCCTCGTCCAACAATGCTTTGGGTGATAAGGGCGGGGCTATGAGCGTGCATCGGCAACCGAATACAGTGTATACAATGGATAGCATACGTCACAATTTGGTTGTTGGTACTGCTGGTCGGCATGTCTTGATTTGGGACCTGCGTCAGATGCACGCACCGGTAGAACAGAGGGAGTCCAGTCTGCGCTATCAGACGCGGTGCATTCGATGCTTCCCCAATGGTCAAGGTTACATTCTGGGGTCTATTGAAGGTGAGCCAGAGACTACCGGTTTCGTAATTAATTGGTTGTTAATATGCAGGGTTGGGAATGCCGTCTGTTTTTTTTTTGTTTCCAGGTACTTACGCTTTATTTGAATGTCCCGTTTCCTTTCCCAGATTTTATGACGCCACAGGTACTTTTAGGTACGCTCAGTTTTGGTGTGTGCATATGAAGCCCTCAAATCAGAAACTGTCATTACACAGAATGATACCTTCTGCAGGTTCCTTAGTAAGTCGCGGCTTGCTTCTATAATCCCAATGCGGAAATGGTTTCTATCTCAGGTGAGAATTTCGTCTCTTGGAGCGGGTCGATCGCCTAGTCTAGTGAACCAATAGCCTCTTGTTGTGTAATGTCTATTGGGTATCCCGCTTAATCGATGGGCAAAGTCGTTGCTGTTCAAATTGTCGGACGATTACTGGGTCGCTTATCACTGCATTGTTGGACCAGGTGGGACCATTACGTGATGCAGGGGTCCAACCTTATCTACCTGCCATCCCCGTTAACAGTGGCAGTTTGTTAATCCAGTGCTGATTTATGTGAGCGGAAAGCGAATTGAAAGCTAGAAGGTATGCAATGTTAGTCCCTGTCAGTCCCTACCTCTACAGATTCTCAGTTAGACTATCTAGGCAAAAATTCACACTAGATGCAACGGTAACGCCGACCCCTATTTTCATTTCCCAATATCTCCATCCAATGGTGGGGAACAGAGGGCATCCGGGACTTTCGTAATCACATTTGTTCACTTGGTTCAAGTCGCAGGTTGATCGCTCGTCTTTATGTGCCACCCATACTTGGTGACAAAATGGGAACCAGCCACAATTCGTGATTTTGTACCCATTCCTAGTGACAAAAAGCTTCTTTCCGGACCTCTCGATCCAACTGAGTATTGCGTTATCGCTTTTTCCATCTACTTTTTGTTGCATGCTAGGTTTAGCTTGACAGATCACATACCGCTGTATCCACTGCTTCGGTTGAAGGTCATCCGCCAAGCAGTCTCTATCAGCTGTTCTAAAGCATCCAGAAAGGTATGCAATGATCAGACATATCGGCGCTCGTACAGTCAGTCAGGTTCTCGTAAATATGCAGCTTTCCGTCTCTCCGTATTACAATATGCCGTGAATTTGCTTGTTTTTCTCACGCAGGTCGTATCGCGGTCGAAATGTTTGATCCAAGCCCAGAAGCTCAGAAGAAAAAGTACGCCTTTAAGTGTCATCGAGTCAAGGAGGAAAATATGGAAATAATCTACCCGGTTACAGCAATCGCCTTCCATCAGGGATACAACACATTTGCGACTGGTGAGTTAAACTTATATTCTCTTAGGACACTGGTTGTCAAATGAACGTTCTTTAGTCGCCTTTATCAGAGTGTACGACTTGCAGGCAGAAACTGACCCTAAGTTAGAACCAACTTTTTGAGTTTTTGTTGTCCAACTACAAAATATTTGCTTTGTTGACATGCTAGTATCGGTAAATCACGTCACCTGACACTTTTGGCTAATAATCACCTCCTCACTCATGAGAAAACCACATCTATGCGTTGGAACGTCACACACTCCAGTGAAGTCGACAGGCCTTCGGTAAATATGGTTTTTCTCCCACGTCATACTCGTAGAGACACTGTGGTTGGTACTGTTAGCTGGAATGGACTGTCACAGCGGAATGTTTCGCTGCATACGTCATATGGCATGTTAAACCTTAAGCAAACGAATCTTTGCTGTTTGTAGATTCATCCTGTTTACTGTGGGAGAACCCTGTAGAGTGAGTCTGATCTTAGCTGTGAAAGAAGCAGTTTAATATTAATAGTGGTATAAGGAGTTTTAGCAATTTTCTGTTTAGTTTTTGTCCTGTGAATGAAGCTAGTTCTGTCTAGGGCTAACGATCGGCTTCACTTTCAGGATGGAATTTCACATGGAAACCCCCACATCTTACACCGTCGTCAATCTATGGATATCACGGTATGAGCGTGATTTCACTAACCGGGTGGTCGTGCGTTCGAAACGCTGTTCATGATTCCCACTAAGGATAAAACAGTTGTACAGTGCCTCTCGGCTTTTCACTACAGATTGGTTTCGCTTACAAGACGAAATCGTTGTTTAAAGTTTGATATTAGCTGACCCTACTCTATAGGGCACATGGAATCTTAAGTAGATGGAATCAATTTGACCACCCCGGAGCATTACAGCTAGCCAATTTATATGGGCGGTATTGGAATCTATGGGTTTACTATCACTATATTCTAGGATCCTGCCTACCTGAGGATGGCCTTCTTTCACTGTCCCGTACCATGCATGAAGTTGTGGCTTCTGTCCATAATGCTCGAATACTTATTTGGCTAGCGGAAAGCCTTGACTCCAACCTGGCATTAAATGTCTGGGACTTGAGAGCAGGGCGAGGATTTGCTATCGGCCTTGAGTCCTTGCTTTTAAGGACCTGACAACAACCATACCACACAATTTGTCCAACCCCAAGGCTCAAAGTACGCAAGCATTTTTATTTTAGTCCTTCGCTCTCCATACGTGCTCGGAATTGCTTTATACGGATTTCATACTTCACCTCTTGGATTCTCCTGCTTTTCGCTTCACGTGATTTTCCTGTGCCTAGCCAGATATACTTCCAAGTAAGATTGCTTTCATGGAAAAGGAAAGATATTCTGGGAAAGAAGCGGAAGTTTATGAGCATTGCATCCATTCTGTCTTTTCGCCCTGAGAATTAAGACCAGATTGATGACTTTAGGCTCATTAACTGACGATACGTTTGACAAGCCCAGATGGGTCACTCAGACGTTTGCTGAGTCGGTTGCTATTCGCATGATACCGTGTGTTAACAGGTCTGATAATGTTGAATCATCTTCCATTTGGACGGGCCTAATTCACGTACAAAAGCGACTAACGCACGGCAATCCGCACGTTGCATTTGATATATCCAGTGTGTAGTCACCAGCATTTTCTCTCTGAACAAACAACTCACAGCCCCCAAACCCTTTTATGTCCTTCAAACTCACTTCGGAAGTGACCTATGGAACAGCCAAGCATCGTTGTTGAACACTGATGTCATGCATCCATTCTTTTCGCCCTGAGAATTAAGACCAGATTGATGACTTTAGGCTCATTAACTGACGATACGTTTGACAAGCCCAGATGGGTCACTCAGACGTTTGCTGAGTCGGTTGCTATTCGCATGATACCGTGTGTTAACAGGTCTGATAATGTTGAATCATCTTCCATTTGGACGGGCCTAATTCACGTACAAAAGCGACTAACGCACGGCAATCCGCACGTTGCATTTGATATATCCAGTGTGTAGTCACCAGCATTTTCTCTCTGAACAAACAACTCACAGCCCCCAAACCCTTTTATGTCCTTCAAACTCACTTCGGAAGTGACCTATGGAACAGCCAAGCATCGTTGTTGAACACTGATGTCATGCTGTCGATGATGATGGTGACTATGAAACATATTCGAGGTTCGGACGGACTGCCGTTTGACTTCAGCTTCAGCCACAACCTAACCACGTATTTCTCTGTTTCTTGTGGTCCCCCTATGAATGACAGTGGTTGCCTGCAATAAACACTACCACCGGACAGACGAAGTTACCTTGATGCTTTGGTCAGCCTGGTGCATCACCAATGTAGTTTGACACCATTGATACAGATATGACCATTTGAGCATGATCGTTGAAGCACATCGATCAAACAGGCTTGTCTCAGTCCATTGCCTTGAGGCTGGCATTCTCAGTCACCAGCATGGACCCCTATATCAACAACGACCTCCAATAACTCATACCTTCTAACTTGTCCGCTTATCTATGTATGTTCTTTTCGTATCTTGGGACTGGATCGGCCGGAGACAATGCTTGCGCGAAGAATCATCCAGAGGGTCTTCCGTTTCGCCCCCGTCGATGCTCCAGATAGGATTCATGCATACTAGCGCAACCTGATGAATCTTCCCAATAGCTTTCAGCTTACATCTTCAGACAATGAAGAATATGGGCTTCAATACGTATAGTCTTACTACACATTACCTCATCCTTTGTATCAGCTATGTTGCCTTCAGTCAACATTCTAGCCGCGAAGCATTCCAACGAAACCAGCATATCCAGAGCTTAATTACGGGCTACGTCAAGTCCGATTCAGCACTCAATAGTCCAGTAATGTGATGGGTTAATGCATCAGGTGTGCTTGTGACAAACCCATTCATCTTCATAGTTCACGAATAAACTAACGACAATAGCTTGGAAAATTCGGAATGTGCCACAAAATACTTACTGATGCTGATGCTGATCAACATTTATCATCCAGTGATTCACCAACTATTCACTCAACGCAGTTGTACAGGACAATTATTCTCCTTGCTAGGACAAGTGTCGTCATTCGACACTTAGCCTGAATCCTCTACTTCATGTTTCCCACAAATTCAGCCTCCTGTTCCGACTACTGTACAATTATGTGCAATGCAGATGCGATAATTAAATTCCATGGGGCATCCATTGTTGAAGTGCGTGTGGAACCCCATGTCAGATTCTTGATGTTCGAAGCCCAACGATATGCTCTATGGTTTTCAATTCTGATAGGAATGGAACTCAAGTCCAGTGCTTCGCTGCTTTGTCGTTAATCAAGCTCAAACACCCGGACCAAGGTGGCGATGGAATACTTAACCAAGAATGAGTTAGGCATTTACTAGAAAGATTCCAAATCTGCCCACAACTACGGCAACACTTACCTGTCAGTCACCCACTTTAAAACATCTTCATGCTAACAACCGAAAACCCACCAACTTCCGAATTAACGTTAGTTCGTATTCTGGTGCATCATCAATCAAATCGGCGGCTTTTCTAAGTGCAGACATTCTATGATTGCAAGGCAAATCTTGTTAGTACGCTATAATGGTAGGTAAATGAGCCTGCATGCTACACTTCTCAGGGCCTATGGAGACTTGACTCTGATCGAGTCATTTGGTCACCCAATTTGGGACTACAAATGGCCAGAAACTTCACTGACAACCGTTAGCTCATACGTGTTTTGAAGGTCTGATCACTGCTGCCACATCTGTCATAAACTGGTCATGAATTTAGTGAATATACACCCATTTGCAAACTAATTTGGTTTTTCGTGAGACTCATCTGGAACCCAGCAGAATCTTTCGTTTGTGATGTTCTCAGGCAAGAGTGCGTCCTCATACTTATAGTTTCATTCAAACCATGCATAGTTTGATTCCTCATTTTCACATCAACCATGTATCATTAGCTTTAAAAGGAGGACAGTCCACGTGATTGGTGGACCTCTTACACAAGAAGTAGCCTAGTAACACGTGATCATGTCACATGAAATTTGCGACTGATAGCAGAGTGGCTCTCTATGTTATTTGACTGTGAGTTAATCACAGCGCTCACCAGCTGCTTTTCGCCGACCGGTTGAGCTTTGAAATACCGCCCTGGAAGTTGCGGTTCCAGATCTCTGAACCTTATGAGTAGTACATTACAAAGATGGTGACGAATTTTTTCGTCCAGCTATCCGGAGCATGATGTAGTTGTTCAATCAGATAGTAAGATAGTCTTACGGAAGCAGATATTTATAGAAATATACGAGAGGTCGCTAGTTGACGATCATATACCCGTGGAGCTTTTCAGGGGAAGTAAATGAGCCAATCTTGTTGATGCGTGCCTCAAAGGAAACATCACTTGGTTCGAGGCTTTATCAAAACTTCATCACCGGTATGACAATACACTCTTGATCATAGACGATTAAATGGATAACGTGGCTGCATGCAAACATCATTGGGGCACTTGGAATCTACTGAAAAATTCAGTGTTATTTGTTGTGATATTCAATGTGAAGATCCCCCCCCCCCAATGGCAATCCGTCTTGTTAAAACACACCCAAGAATCGATTACTCGATCCACACCGGACGAAGGCTACTGGACAAAAATTTTACCCTTAAACTGATTAGTAGTGCATGGCTACCCCATCGCAAACGGGGAGCTGAAGTTTGATATGAACGGGTTACCACCAATCTTCCAGCTCACCGAAATTATCATGTCTGATCCGACCGGGTCGAGTTATTCGCCGTTATTCGAACGCAGTATTCTCGCCAAGTAGCCCAACCCCGAATGATTCAACGTATCCCTTGCATCCTCAGGTCATTGGGTTATGCGGTTAAATTAGCTTAGTCTCAAAGATAAAAATATTCTCCCGTTATTCTACTTCATGGGTGATTCGTGTACGGACCAAGGTGGGTCATTTTGCTTTTACTTGGTTTTCTTTTACCTTTATTGAATCCCGAGATAGGTCAGTGGTTTGGGCGTGACCTTGCTAACCAGAAGACATCTCGAATGCTACTGTCTAGGATTGGGCAGTATGACACTAACAGGGCCCTCGTGTTTCCTTTGGATAACGTGGCAGCTAGGCACCGGAAGTTTAGCACTGAGATTGAGTGTTTTTCTCTAGGGAATAAGTTATCCCCTTTGAGGGACAATCCTATAAAAGCCAAGTGCAGTACACTGGTGTCTCCTATAGCTCGTCATCCCTTTATGTTCGGCGGTCTTAAGTGGGACGTCTTTGTTACTTTTCATGCCCGCGACACGTTGTGCCAAATCTGGAACACCACACTCCCTTATTCCTCAGCTCCCCAATTCTGGCTGCTGAGATTATTCAATTTCCTATTTTTCACCATCATCTCACAGGAGGATGTGACGGTATTGTGAATATTTGGGACGGATTTAACCGCAAACGGTTGGCCCAGTTGGCCAAATACCCAACCAGTATATCCAGTTTGGCTTTCTCCGAGGATGGACATCAGCTGGCAATCGCTTCGTCTTATATGTACGAGCGCGGTCAAATTGAAGACGAGCCGGAGCCCACTATTTATGTACGGAGTGTTGCGGACAACGAGGTGAAGCCCAAACATCTGGCTTCCGCAGCCTCAGCTGCTCCAGCGGGAGGTGGCGCTCCGATTAAAGCTTGATGATTTGTGCAACTATGAATCAGTACATCATTTTTGCATTTGTTTCCATCCGGTCTTCACAGTTTTTAATAAATAATCAATGTTTCAAGTTTCCTCGTTGTTCTGGTTTTGTCCAGACCTGGTTGGGTTTTTTTGTTTGATTGCAAAGCACATGGGTTTCTGACTTTGGGTTGTACAACTGTATTTAGCTTCAAATGCCGACGGAGTCTGTTGCGGTATTCGTCGCTCGTGTGAAGACCTTCCTGTTCATGTCGCCACACAGTGGCCTCATTCAGTACTGTTTAAAGACAACTCTGCTGTTCTCCGCTTCTTTCGAATACTTTCGCGTTCAAGCTGCATCCTTCCATACAATGCAACACCTTGCGATGTTCACTATGCTAGACTTTGACCCTGAAACGGAGAGGAAACTGTTGCGCTAAAGACCTCAAAAGTTGTACATTATTCAAATCTAAGAGAATCCGTTTGTGCATGCAGTCTTTAACTTTAGCTGTTGCATGCAACCCTCCACCTGTGTTTCCGTTGAGCACTAGCAAGATGTAAACATATCCGATGGCGAAGCCGCACGGCCATTTAATTTTTACAAATGTGAATTGTGTAATTTTAACCTAAATAACAAACTTGGCAGGTTAAAGAATACGAAATGGCGTCTACGTGCCAAACTGTGGCTTTCTTAAACTTCTAGGTAGAGCTCGGCTGACGAAAAATCAAAGAATCATATGTTTCCGATCTCCTTTCCCGCTGGTAGAACCGTTGGATTCTCATATACGTCCCACTGAAAAAGAAATGGAAAAATAGCGCCTGCTATCTAGTATCTTTTCGCAGTACACACCCAAACCAGAGGAGCTTAATGCCTATCTGTATTAGTTCGCGCTGTTCATGTTCCCAGTCAGGTATAAATCGAGTAGTTTTGTGCACATGCAACAGCCTTGTCAGTAATTGGCCCCGTGAGTAGTATACTACCTGTTGCTAACTTGGAACAGCTCAGTGCTTAAGACACAAACTGTAAGATCCAGTATCTCGACCAGGTGTTTCATCCACGTGCTTTCTTCGTGGGTAGAAGGGACGGCAGCCTGGCACCGAAAGGAAGAACGAACAATTTCTTTTGTGAGCCTTTTTTCGAAGACTACAGACAAAAATAAGCTGGTACACGACACCCTGTGTATTTCTGTGTTTTCGGGTCTGCACTACAAAACAACATAGATAAATAAAACAGAAAAGCGCTTGTCCTCGGAAGCTAGTGGGTTACAAAGATGGTGTGAATGATATGACTGTTTACACAGCCCCGGTTTCCATCTCTTGATAGCAATGGATTCAGTAATCCGACCTTCGGGATGTTAATTTTCCAGACTCTGCCGGTTTTCCGATTGATTTTGTCTTTGTAACCCCGGTATCCTCTCAGCCTTTGTGCTTCCTTGGATCTGTGTGGGAGCTGAGATCTACAAGATCCTGTGTGTGAAGGACATAGACTGATGGGAGAAGATGAATTATTTTTTCTTAGTAAGTCCAGGTCTAAAGCTGTCACCGTGTCGTGGTGGTAGGGCGCCAGTGCTGCAATGATCCTGTGCACTTCACTGGTGGGATCTCAGTTCCCCAAGGTTTAGCCATACCAGGAAGCCAGATGGACAGCAGTGCGAAGAATTCCCGTACCGCGAGAAATCGAGATAGTCCGGAGGCAAAGTCATGATGTTTTCTTCGATAGGAGCATGGATATAGTGAAATGTTTCCATCAGGCGACCAATGTATCCATGTTTATGGAAGAGGTGATGCTGCCTTGCTTCACAGTTTCCAGTTTGCCGGAATATGAAGTGCTTATGAACAACTCACGTGTTTATCAAAAAGCCTGGAATAGGGTACCATAGTCAGTGCTTGGCGTATTTGGGAGGGTGCTTTGGCCAGTGAAAAGCATCGTTCTGAGGCACAAAATACTGGACAGAAATGGCAGTACTGTCCTTAACACTGACAAACAAAAAATTGCCTAACATTTTCTGGTATAACATTTTGGTGCGATAACGTACTTTTCTAGATAAAACATCAATGAGAACGGGGACAAAAAGCTCCATTTGCAGTGATTTCACAATCATCCAATGAACACCTTTTAGCAACTGAGCACCATAATAAACTACTGCTTTATATGAGGTCAGCAACATCAAACAATGGGCATCTTCCATCCAGATTCCCAATCAATTCGTTAGCTCTACTAGGACGATAACCTTTCGTTTCTTTTAGTCAAGCAGTTCATTTGTTCTCCTAATATTCTTTTTCTGACCAGAGATTGCAGGTCACATGCTATTATTTCACACGTGCATGCTTTGTTCTTCTGACAGGTGTGCGTGTGAATCTCACAAGCTAGATCAAATGCAACTAGTCAAGGTCGACCAGAAAGCGAAAGTACAGGAACCGCCCATTGTAGTATTTCATGAATCAGGGAATACCAAATGTTAGGTTCTCATCACGTGACAGAACTCCTACGGAGCATTGTTCATCTACCTTATTCTCAAGGTCTAGCTACATTCACTTTGGTATCTCATGTGGACTGTAATCAGCATGATGTGAAAGACATAGGAGGGAAACTTTTTTTCCAAAATCTTTAAAGGTTATTTATTTCCCAAAAGGCTAAAAATGCGCAGTGCCCAAAGTTTGGGAAATAGGCGTGCAGAGTTTGTGTTGTGAAAAGGAACTGCACAGTAACCGCCTTATCGTGACTGTTCAGCCAGTCTACCGGCAAGTGATTTCACTGCGGAACCACGATGCATCCGCTAAACATCGTTTGCTCGATTGGAAACAGGTCAGTTACCATAGTTACTTAACGTTTGAACTATTACCATGACATAAGTGTGTTTATTATGAATATTCTTCACGTGGTCCATTCGGTTATGCCGGCGAGGCTGACAAAAAAGGAGGTATTTAGCATAAAGAAAACTACTCACATTTCGTAAACGAAAGAATCAGCTGAGTTTCAGGTGAGTCTTCCTTGAAAACCAATTTGATATGAAAATTAGTGTATTAGTCGCAATATTTAGCAGTTCGACTCATTATTTACAGGGACATATTTCCAACAAGAACGATACACACCCCACATGTCAAAACGTCGACAGAGGAACGCCTAATGCCGGAAAATACAGGTGGTAAATCAACTGAAACCATTTTGAAATTAGAAAAGAGAAGGCTGGACGAATACGTGTTTTGAATTATTCGAATTCTGGGCCAGTTCAACGAGAGGGATTGGACAAATCGCTCCTGTGCACAAAGTTCAGGTTCGAGGTATTCAATGACACTGGCCTCGGCCTTCGTAAGACCACTTAACCTGACTGGTTTGAACCGGTTTTGTGGCACCTGGTACACAATCTGTAATGCAGTGCCTCAATCAACCGTGTTTTCTAGGTAGGCTAGACTAGTACTCTGGATTTTACCCGCGCCTCCCAGGACAAGCCATTTTGGCCCCCATCTCTAGTTCGCTTCGACAAGTGCTGTATCGACAAACTAAGTCAATCGGAATAGTCAGCTATTTAATGGGTAATTAACCCAAAGCCCTCTGTGGATATTAGGAACTGCAACAGAAGATCTGTTGTCATCGGTTTTTGAGCTCACAATACAACCAACCATTTTCCCCGATAAGCCGCTCGTCGTTGAATGGTTAAGTGTTCAAACTACCAGCTGGGTGATCGCGGGTTAGAGACACCCTGGAGTCTCTTGGGATCCACAGTGCTGATGATTCCTAATAAGGATGGGACAGCTATACAGTACTTCTCGGCTTTTCAACACACACTGACTCCACTTACTAGAAGAAATCTGCACCGAAGATCCCAGAACCACCGTCAACAAATATATTTCCCTAAAGGATCAGTAGAAATAGATTTCTTGTGATGGTGGCTAAGCAAACTAGAATGCAATAATCCTCACGAAAATGGCCACTACAAAGAACGTGCGTGCTCTTCATTACTAGGGTTTTTGTCGAAGGTAAAAAGGTTACTATCAATACTGGCTTCTGTTGGATCGCCCTAATCACCGATAAGAAACAAAGTGCCTTAGTAAAACGCTTCTCATGAGAATCGCATATGCGATGGAATATAAATCGTTCTCTAAATGTGTCGTTTGATATATATATATATATATATATATATACAACAGATGATAACCCATGAGCTTGTAACGAACCTTCCTTCCTTGTTCTGTACTCACAGGATTTTCACACTCATGCCAACAGGCCAAACAACTTAAAGGAAAAACCTATGGTGTCAGTCCACCTGACAATGACCTAAACAACCAGCCACAGTTGACCATTGACAATGATACTACATGAGAGTTTGTTGTCGGACAGAAAACTCAGATAGTGTTTAGTTCTCAAAGTGAGCTTGCTTACAGCTACTGAGAATCTTCTCGTCATTGCCTGACTGGGACTTGCATGATACACAACGCTGATGTATTACACTAAGGATCACTCGGTGATTCACGGTATTTTATGTGTTGGCTGACATAAATTAACTTGTACCTAAGTGTACAACATCAGGAAAGTTAGCTAAGCCGAAGCTTAAAAATATCCAAGGAGCGTGAGACAAATCAGCCAACACTGAAGACAGTTTTTTTATTGAGAGATAAGTCAGTATGGTATATTTCGTGGGGACATTGTTGATGTTGATCCCACGACTGGTCGCCGACGCGCGGCTGAATTCCCATGCAATGCTTTTCTGATCTCAATTCTGGATTCCTGAGATGTGTATCACTGATAGGTTATGAGAAAAAAGAGTAAAAACGGTACAAAGTACTTCGCGGTATTTGGTGCCGAAACATTCAGGCCGACTTTTTTCTTACTACTTAGAATCTGGCGGTAGTCAGTCGAGGACGCAAAAGTCTAGGGCTTCGACATTGAATTTAGAAGGGTGTTAGCCGATTTAGACGAAATGTAGTAAAACGCACAGTTGGACACAAGTTCTACACTGACGTGACCTTCCACGCTGTGGAGTCGTTGGCGTGAGCGCGTTTTTTTTGTGAGAAACAGCTTGTAACTGCCGACTAGGAGAACATTTGCACAATCCCCCATGTTCAGCGGAGACGAAAAGCCGCAGGTGCCTTGGGCTTTCGGGATCCACTAATATCTTTGCCAAAACTTAAGGGATTTTGCTTGAGGGGCTAACCAACATCAGTGCATTCGTGCAGCTAAGATCGAGTGGTGCTGTGTGACTTATAAAAGTGATTTAAACACGCTGCTTACTAGCCATTCCACTTTTGAATGTGTGGGGCTCAGCCTGGTGGGTGCTTGAGATGCTCGCTATGAGCTGACGTCCGAGAGATTCGGGTGGGACCAGGACGCTTGAGGGTCCTGTCATGCGTAAAACAAGTCCTGATGAACGGTTCAAAATCAAAAATACAAGATGGATGATCCTATAGAATGTTCGTCTTGCCTTGTCTTCTCCTATATGAACAGCTCTTTTGCAGCCAAAACAAGTTCACTCATTACACTTTTCGAGTCTTGTTTAGGGGAAGTTCAATGAACTTACAATCCTGAGGTTCCAGTGACCAAAACTTACTTTCCCGACGATGTCCAGCTGAAAATCTACTAAAAAGCGGAAATAAAAAACATTCTTGGACCAGGAATCATACGAATTCAGTAACTTCCAATACCGATTCGTCTGAGGTCAAGATTTTGCGAGATCGTTCTACGGGGAAAACTTGGTAACACGTAAACAAGTGGCGCTGCCGGTTGTTTTGCCCTGACGGTAGGTTACGCGTGTTCTCGGTCATGGGTGATGGTGAGGATGCGTGATGCTTTCGGAAATACACCGGCTATTGAAGAACGTGTTAATCCGAAATGCTCATTGGCAGCCTCTTCCCTACAGCATGGGTGATCTCCGAATCTCCTGTTTTTCCAGTTGTTCGAGATTACGTGGAACGAAAACCTTGTGGTTAGAGTTTTCATTGCTCTGCATTTCAAGTTGTCCGTAAATCTGGCCTATTTACGTTGCTCGATGAACTGAATGAGGGCTCGCGTAGTCAAACCTCGTTCCAGAACGGATCTTTTCCTGGACTGTTGCGATTATCAATCGGAAGTCATCGCACCAGTCAGAAAATAGCTGCTATGCAATCAGCTTGTCCAGAATGGCATCAACTAAAATCCGGAGGTGTTCGATAACCGCGTAGGCGGTTTTCCGGTAAAGAAAGCATGAGAAAGCTGTACTGGATGTGTCATCTGCCTTTCCAACCCTCGTAGCCCCTGTCAAGAATAGTAGTTTCATACTCAACTACAGTCTACTTCGTGATAATATGCCCGTGCATTTCATGGTCCACGGTTTTTCCAAACGGATATTCCAGTACGAACTTCGTTACGCCATCGTTTTGTGAATGCCCGTCACCGGTTACCAAGGCCAACATCTCTTCACCAAACTAAAATCATGTAGAACTGCACCTTAATCTTGACGGTTTCTAGTGTTCAGCAGAGCGTGTCCTATCGATACACAATTCTATTGGATTCCACGTGTCTAATCAGTCTTGATGCCTGAGTAGTAACTAACGCGGGAGCCCATTTCAGCAGCCTCCTAAGAGGTTGTGTAAATGGGAACAACACTCATTTCAGAGAACCAAGGGTCGCAGGCGAGTCGGGGGAGGGGACATGCGGACTAATCATATTCGAGAAATATAGTTTCGTTTGACTTACGCGGTAAATGGAGGGGTGGATATAGTTCGCTTTCCATTTTTTAATGTATGTGATGCTGTGCTTCATTATAACTGACGGATTCTAAAATCGGAATATGTATACATCTGCTGCACCAAGTGGAAAAATCTTGTATTTGTAAATGAGTTTGCGGGTTTGTCGAAAATGCTATCGTAGTTTCAGTAGAAGGCCTTAAATAGGCTTTGGGTAATCATCGCGCCATCCGCATTTTCAAACCACTGATGAAGTCACAAAGGATGGGAATCATCTTTAGAGACCGTCAGAAGTACATGCTAGCATCTCATAGATAAAGAAGTCAGTTTTCACAAGCGCTGTCCCTAGCTCGGTCCAGAAATGTATCGACCTTAACGATGGAGATATCCATCCGCTGATCCGCCCTAGTAACCCTTCAGGACAAAAACCAGTAAATGGCTTCATTTCTGCCATATCAAGCAGATACTTCCAAGAAGCATGTAACTGAACCTCTACGGAAGACGAAGCAATATCGGAAACTATGATTCCCTAATGTCACCGGTCTGTAACCGGTTTTAACTTCTCTGCTTTGGTAGCAGCTTCCTGTCAAGGAAGCTCCTTGCTGTTCAAAAACTGTATCTTTGGCAGCACAGAAATTTCAACAGCGTGCGATCGCTTTGTCCCTATTAGGATTCATCAAAAGTGCCAATCTTAGGGCTTCATTGATGAATCTGAAACCGTAACACGTTGCATGCGAAACCAGACTGATCGGTACTGTCAGTGGTTTGCATCCACACAAATATACCATAATCGTCGCAGATCAAATGTCGACCAGTCTTTGACAGGCGATTTCCAGCAAACGGGAACTCTTCCTCATCGAGCACATAACCTAGTGTGGACACTTCATGATGTAAGATAAGTGGACCTATACTGAAAAGCTCAGATGTACTGCTACGTTCAGATCGTGTGCAGTTGCACATCAGTGTGCAACTGAAGAAGGGCGCTTACCCCCGGAGTTTCTGGTAAACAGCACTCTACGAGGGAAACCGCGCAAATAAGGAAGGTAATCCTGAAGACAAGTTGGAAGGAGCTCGCTTTTTCACTCGGGCTCCCTTGCGAGAAACAACTATTCTCAAGAACCAAAGGGGGTCACTTATTCATCACGCAGAGAAGTTACTCACCCTGAACATAAATCACATCAAAACTATTCTGCGGCATTGACCCAGGTTAACTAATGAAATTTAACTTGAAAAGGATTACGTCGAGAAGACTGTGATGCCACATCGGTGGAGTCGTCTTAATCGGACTTGACTTAACCGAAAATTAAGCCTTGGACAATCCCAAAGCAACATTCGTTGAAATAGTTGAGTCCTGACATCCATTGAAAAGGATGCAACTGAAGAACAAGATGAAGTGATAACTTCGCAATTCGCAAAATCGAACTAACCATCATTGCTTTCGCTAGCTCCTCGCGATAACTTACCTCATTCGTGTTGGGTCAAAAGAAAAAACACTAGCGGTAACCTGGACGACGAGGTCTTAAGACTGTTAAACTTATTCACAATAATACGCTAGTACGTGTGGTTTACGGATATGTGGGGTTATTCGACTTCTTCAGCCTTCAATTTGAAAATTCTATCCTACCCTGAAGAATGCCTTTGAAGAGTACCGGATGAAGGTAAAATTTCATCAGGATAGCACAGAAAGAAGGTTATGCAATTTTCATTAACCACCCTCCAACGAGGAAACACGTTTGGTTCTCCCAAAGAAGTCCCCTCATTAGGTAAATTAACATTTGGGACAGGAGAACCTGATCAGTCGGGTGATCCACTTGCGTTTAGATTCTAACAGCTGCAAGGCTTCCCTCGCATTTCCAACTGTTGGTGGGCTCAGTCTTTAACGAAGCGAACCCCAATCTGAATTTTATGACCTTCTGAACACTTGAAAAATACTTAATTACATCTCTGTTACTATCGTAGGAACAAACTTGAGACTTATTGACACAATGCAAGTGAATGCCAGTGACTGCCGTCCCGTCAGTCAGTCAAGCAATATTCCAGAAAGTTTAAGAGAACGAAAGTTACACGAGTACTTTGCTGTTATGATCACAGTTACTTAACCCACAGTGTTTCATTCTGGAATGGATGTGTACAAAGCTTTTGATGTCACAAGGGGGTCAATTTTCCACTGACGAGCTTGATATCAACACGTGCGACATCTCAAACGGGTTTGAGATTGAAGGGAGGCGCGTCCATACGGTTCTCAAAGGTTTTCCAACCATTCTATCCTCACTATGCTTGTGAAACCATAAGCAATAGCTAGCGAGTTGAGTTACTCGGTGGCTAAAGCATTCCCGTCAATGGCATCCCACTGAAAACTATCCCCATTCCTAATTGTTTTTGGCGAAAGGTCTCTGTTGGTAAACGATCCGTGAAGTGAGGGACCGCCGTATGCTACACGGTGTTGTGGGATCCACACGCCCCTGACTTGGACTTGACATTTCGTCCCTACATTACATGTCCCAGATTGTAGTTTCCGTGGAAGTAAGTTGACTGCTGGACCTACACAGCTCCAATGAATCGGCCTTGTGCTGAGGGTTTACTCCGGTGCATGCGTCCCACGTAGTTTTCTGCATAGGTCTGACAGAGCTCATGCATTAAGTCCATTCTACTCCAACTTTTTCCATGTGAGTTTATCACACTTTAGCGCCGGTAATAACTAGTGTTATCCAAAACCTAGAAGGGGATACTGAATCTGTTAACGGAAAAGACAGAATGAATCTGAAATTCCATTGTGGTTTTGATAACAGTAATGTAGAAATGCTGTACAGAACGATCTAGGAAAACAATACGATCAAGATGGTCGAGTCCGTTTGAAAGGTCTGAGGAGACCTGGGGACCTCATCCGTTTGGGAACGGAAGCCGCTACGTGAGATGACACGCCGGCGGTTACTCCAGGACTGTCTGCGATGGCACTTGAATCACGTTTGGTGAGGGGCCGCTTCGTAGATGAATTCCGCAGTTTCTTCTTAGGAACTGGCTTATTGTCAGCTGGCGTGTGACTCGCGGCAGTTTCTTTTTTAATGGAATCACGTAAGAAGTTGACAATCTCACAGATTGATTGGGTGTTTCGCGACAGATGTTGCAGAACCACATTTACTTTGCTGAACTCTGTCACTTGGGCAAGTTCGTCCGCGGAGTACTCGTCTGAAAGTGAGGCGGAAGGAAAGAGGAAAACATTTTTAATTCGTCCGATGGTCGAGTAACTTACTGGATTTCCGTAGCGAAAAAAATGAGTGCAACAAGACAGCTGGTCTATACAAGCTAAACGGTGTGACTAAGTGTCACTTGAGAACACCAAGTGACAGACCAAAAGTAGAGGGACGCGTGCAACGTGGATACAATCACTAAGTCAGGCCTTGAAATTCCCAACGGAAACATCATGACCAGTTTTAACAGCGATTATAACCTTACTTCTTCGATGCCTAGTTCCTAATCTGCTTTCCTTATACTGGTCCCAAATCTCATAAGGTTGGGTATTTAATGTAGCCCACAGAATCCACTGAGTATTGATAATTCCCCTCGTACGTGCGGTTTACTACCAATGGTACCTACTGCCAGACGCAGGGCACGCTTTTCGGACAAATAGAGAATTGGCCGTTGGTTTGTTCGCTAAGCTGGGCAAGGATGATGTCACCTCGATTGATGATGAAACGTTTATAATGATCAAATAACCATTCGGCTATAACACCCTTTCAGTACCTGGTTGCCATACCACCCAAAGGTAGCACGAGGGCTGGGATACTACCAGGTTCCCCAAAACTAGACAGGGGAAGTCGAGAGGCAGAGGTCGGGTCAGAACCACGGATCTTCTGGTCAGTAAATTTGGGCAAAAAGGTGAGAATTACTCAGAAATACCCTAAACGTGACCGAAACAATACCATGTCCTTCATATTATCTACTGCCAACGAAGACGAAGATGTAGAGCATCAACGCCGAAACATACCCAAGATACAGTTGTACAGCTTTAAACACACAGTTGCACTCTCCCGACGCCAGACATTATGACGAATAAAGCGTAATAACCGCGCTAGCTGTTTTACGTCTCGACCTGCCACAGCAGCCACGAGGGTGCCTCGTCTGGCGAGTTCACGGATGACACCGACTGCCAAAAGCCTCTGTTTGTGCTTTCTTGCGTAGACAGACGGGCGACGACGGCTGGCAGACCACGGAAACCGCGTCACAACGGATAAAGCCTGTGAGTGACTGAAACGAGTCAAAAGACGATCCACTCTCGTGAACGGTTGTCTTTCACTGTCATCCGCGTAGAAACGGAATCCGTCACGTGAAATTTCCGACGTCTTGAGAAGCAGCAGGGAAGCGGGATGGGAACACAAAGAGAATCAATTTGGTTGTGCAGAGACCCAAGTAAAGTTGATACGCAAACACTAAGGAAGGCATACTCTATCCATTTTATGAACATGACAATGTTTTAGTAGGAATACAGATTCGAATACCGTCCACCCGACCAAAATGAAGGTTCAGCAATAAACCATGAATAGGCTTGCTCGGTATTATCCCAAACCTCGTGCTCTCTATGTGCCGCACGGTCACTGTCCGCAAAAAAACACCACAAATGAAACTCCAGTCGATTCATGAGCTCCCGAACGTACGATTCGTGGTTCCAACCAACTTCCGATTTTCCGATCATTATTGTTCAACAGCACACAACCTATTGGTGTTATTCAAAAGGCATGCGTACTTCTGGCGGAAATAAACTGAAAAATACAGATAGCGGCAACTCATCAATCTGACGAAGAGAAGCCCGAATCACTGCTTCATAAACCGTACACGCAATAAAATTATCGTTCCCGGTAAGTAAGCTTCCTTGTCGTAACAGTATCAGTGTGTGGATCATCACAGGCCCTTACTGAAATAGACGGTCGGGTCTCATAGAGACCCAGTAACAACGCCCAGAATAAGCCTATGAGGGGAGACAACTTTTTATACTAACATGCTCCTCGCCGGGGTGGACTAACTGAAGAAGTCGCATACCGGTCGAAGAATGGATTCGTGGCCACACACACCTGTGGTTCGGAACCGCGTCTCGGGTATTCGATTGGTCGGTTAATTTGGCAGTATATTAACCGTGGTCTTCCTGGGAGGATTGCAGTGGGGTCAGTAGAGTGAAAAGCTAAGAGTTCCAAGAGATCTGAATTCCTTCCTATGTTTTTAATCGCTCCTGGTGTTTTCTGTAGCTGGTTAGACAGCGATGCGCGTGTCAAAGCCGAACGACCTTTCTACGAAGAACGGCATTTTTGAAGGATGCAGTTTTCTTACCTTAGTTTAAAAGTAATATTTGGTGAAAGAAATCAGGTTACGAAACGGTCTAGACGGTTCGTGTTTTTTAATTCTCCGTTGCATGGAGGAAGTATCACTTTCTGAAACTGCGATGGATACGACAAAGGAGAGATAATTGACTGGTGGTTATATTAACGAGTAACGCGGAGAGACAGGGAGAAGGGAACTGCCAGTAGAGAAAAGGACAAGAGGAAACATCAACCACGTCCGGATCCTGATGCTTCCCAGAGATCCCGAAGAATTCGAAACATAAATCACCAACTCATTTGCTCAGTTTTGATTGAGAGCACATGGGTCACACTGAGGAGAGTTCCTCAGTGCTGGCTGCTGAGACCTATAAACACAAGGTAACTGTACGCTTCTAGCAGCGATATAAGGGAATTACAATATCAGAAAACAGGCTGTCTGCGGGAAAGGCGCAACACCCAGATCCGATGAAAAGCTCATCCGATGGTAAAAGCACATTGGAATCCTCTACGACAAACGGCCATTAGAAGCCGGCAGCGTTGTCGCGCAAAAAACCGGACGCAAAACAAGACGCACCAAATCCGGTCACGGTCGACCGAGTCTGTGGGACTGAAAGAAACTTGGAGAACAAATTAAACACCAACATCCGTTCCGAAGACAGACGAACACACAACGGATGGACTAACATTGCTAGCTATCCGTATCATCATTACCGATCTACCCGAATCAGAAGAGCAGTGCATTGAGGCTCGGGATAAGTCACACTACCAACCATTTATAAGCACCTCAGACGAAGAACTAATTTACACGGAATGGAACTTCCGTCTGAGGAGTCGTCACTCGAAGAATCAGCCAACATGTGACCACATAACAAGGATTGCGTGAATGAAGGATAAGTGGCGCTGCATTAGTTAAAATTAGTCACAAAGCTGATTAGTCGCACGTGGCCGAACGATCGAGTGTTCAAACTACCAACAGGAAGCTTGTGGAAACTCCTTGAAATCTCATGACATGCACATTGCTGATGATTGCCAATAAGGATGAAAAAGCAGTGCAGTACTTTTCGGCTTCTCCTCCCACACGGGAAGGAATGGCGAGTCATTCTGCATTTGATCAGCACGACGCCACACCTCTCAGGACAGTGATAATCATGTCCTGACTGACAACTTATATAAGCTGAGGATATCCAGCCTCAGAAATGAAGAGCATTAAGTGATCACTTGAAACTAGTGGTGGGGAGCCTCAAAAGAGTAAAGATGTTCTTAACGAATGTACGGAGGAGTAACATTAATGAAGGACTGGCTGCAGTCAGACTAGTGATTTGGGAGATCACAAGAGGGCAATATCAACGCGCCTTGGGTCCAATTTCAGAGCAGTCGATAGGCTCCATGCCCACACTGCCTACGGATGAAAAAGCCGGTCACAGCAATTAGGGATGTACAATGGATAAAGAGTCGAAATACCGTTTGAGTGCCAGGACCAGGACTTGGCACGTCCGCAAGGTGAACGGATCAGAGATATGAGGAAATACCGAATGTGTGGAAGGCTCTGAAAAGGTTCAAACAGCGGGTGTTTGAATCCGATCAATCTAAATACAGAGAATCAGCCTCATAGGGAATTCTTCTACACCAACTGGCGAGACAGTAAATCAGATGAGCGAGCTTCACTGTCGAATGAGTCCTAATCGTGAAAGATAATTTGGAACAAGTTTCATTGCTAACTCGAACACATTCCTCATTCTGTCGTGCATCATAATCCGCATATGTTCCAAACCGACTAGTAACGACAAAGAAATTAGCACTATTCCAAAGAGCCAGAAACAACCCAGATTCTACTCCGACTGGACAAGGGCAAGGCTCCGCTGATGTTTTCTCACCTGACAAAGATTTCAGCCCCGGTCTTCGCTATAAACTTCAGTTGATCAATCGCAGGAAGCTTGGAAATAAGTCCTCATTAAGCTATTCAACAACGATGGAAAAAGCACGATCAGAACAGTTATCGATTAGTCATGCTAATGTCATTGGTTGGAAAGGAGAAAGAGAACTGAGTACCGAAACTCCTCCACGAATACATCGGGGCCTACGCTCTGTAAGCACCGGATTAGTGTGAACTTGTGGTAAACAGATCCTCCGTAACAGACCTGTTGCTGAAGCACGAAAGTTGGGGGAGATCAGTTAATCAAGCTAATCAAGTAGACGCCATACTCAGCGGCTTCAGTAAAGCATTCAGTAGGGCATGGTAAGAGTAGTGAAAACGTGTCACGTGCCTTCGACCTTCAATTCACTCTATAAGCGAAGGAAACTGTGCCGGGACCGCTTGGTGTATGGAGCACAAGAATACGAAACCTTATGAGTGTAACGTGTAAAAAATAATGTCAGCAGTGTCAATCGCCGCCATGAGCTTCACTTGTCCACGCCTGAAAACCGCGGCACTCGTATGAATATGACCTTTCGGCACCGGATGCGCTTCCGCCGATAGATCCCAGGTGTTGAATGGAAAAACTATGGCCACGCGAAATATTATTACAGTCTTCAAAAGCCGAGGCTACGGAGAGTACCACCAATGTTCTGCCTACTTACGAGTGCAGTGAATCGGTGGGACAATCTCCCGGAAGGCGATGTATCAACTACCGACGTTGGGGATTTTAGACACTTGACCGACGGGTGTTTGCTAGTAACTCTCAGATCTAGAAGTGTGATGCGGAACCAAGAGGGTATCTTAGGTCCTAATTTGGTTCCATTTTAATAAGGAGTAGGGCTGACAACAGAACTGCTGTCATTCAGTTGCAGCCGTGGATGGAAAGAGTTTTCAGCTAGATAAATCAACACCTAATTCGCTGGTGAAATCACAGGGAATCCTGAAATCCCCGCTTTTAGACGACTTTGACTGGTTGGAACAATCATTGGACCAAGGTCTTATGTTTTTTTCTGGTTGTCCGGAGAAAGAATACCGAAATCATGACATCTTATAGCTTGCTTTCTCATTGTAACAGACACGAGAAAATACGGGAAAATCAACCAGACAACCGGATGGTACAAACACGAACTAGAAAACTTACCTCGTAAATTAGTGGAACTTTGCGCGCGGCCGTCCCAGCACTTTCTCCCTCAGTGAGCCAGTCTCTTGGTCCACGACGTGGCCCATCAAACGGCTGGCTGAGCCAGGTGTCCGTGGTCATTTGAATGTATTTGTCACCCCCTCTCCAGTGGCCGGAAAATTCATGGGCGAGCTGTTGTAACGCGGGTTCCATGCCACCCGGCACTTCCAATTCCTGACCTGCTCGTCGACTGCTTTCCAGAGCTTCAATCGCAGAAGCGGTTAGCATACTGGATTTCCGGATCAGATGCCGAATTTTGACAAAACCTTTCTCACCACCGACAATCATTGTTTCACAGTCGAGCTTCGGAAGAAAGCAGCGAACATGCGTGTTAAAAGCCGCGGAGTAAGGCTCACAACTAGGAGGCCAGAAAGGCCACGAGAGGAACCATAGCAATTGAGGGAAGAAACAAATCAGACATCATAATGTTAACGGCAAACATTCTGGCCAATAAGACCCAACAAGCAGGTCAGTCATCTGTGCAACCTGAGCTCCCCCCGAACAGCATAATGGATGGTTAATAGAAGCTTCATACCGGTTTCCTTCCAATTAGAATGGCTAGAAAGTACATACTAAGAATTAAACAATTTCGTTGAGACCTCCTGTAGGTAACCAGCAAATCAGAAGCTCGAACGCTTTGACGCATCAGGCAACTCGACAGGCAACAGCCTGTCTATACTATGTGAGTCGTAAACGTTACCAGTGTTCATGTGACTCAGTGATTGAAGGTCTGATGGTGATCATGAAATGGTTACCTTGGTAAAGGACTAATCTCTGATGGTGGACCGATCTTGCTTCTATCCGCGAGAACGGTGACATCGGTACAGAAGGTATTCGGGATTGAACTGGGATAATAAAAAAGATCCTGGGAACTTATCGACCTGAGCCAGCTTAATGTTTATTGTGTACTGTTCGCAGCGAATAGACGTTATCATGAATTCATTCGGTATCGATTTCAGGTGAAGTAAGTAGCATGGAGATGCATGGAGTGCTTAGCGGACTTGTGTTGTTCCCGATTGAGTGTATTGGTCGTCCATAGTGAGCTCATCTATGGGACCTGGTAACTGTCATTAGGTACCAGTGGGTGATACCAATCCGATATGCATGCTAGGACAAATGAAAGGCAGGAGACTCCGAGAATCTCACCTAAGCAAGACCGCTCCAACGTAGGCACACTGTACCATAAGATTAAAGACGACGGGGGAAATCAATATGAAGATAAGGCAAAACAAATACCTACTGAAAAGGGCAATAAAAAAACGGAAAATAACGATGAAAAAATCGTCCCCACTGGAGGCGATTTGCCTCCTTCAGCAATCAGTTGCACTAAGCCAGATTGCGTGTGAGATCGATTTGGGGCGACTAGATGGTGAGCAGAATTGTTTAAACATGGGAAGATCGGCACATCAGTGTCAAGACCTACCGTGGCAGCGACTGCAGTGAGTGGAACGAGGTATCTGGTCTGATGTAGCTCCTTGAAATCGACCAAACTAGTAACCTTCATCAGTTTGTCCAAGGAAACTGACAGAAGCACTTCACCTTGTTGTGGATCTGGATGGTTGACGACACAAAGGCCAGTAACCATTTTGTAATGAATCCGAACAGCGTCTGTTTGCTCGACAGATACACCGCCTGATGACACACCGCCGGCAGAGAGAAATTTTCTGGCAGTAGGGTTCCAAAATCTGATGAAGGAGCCGTCAGCCACTACCAAAGTTTTGTCAGTCGCGTCCAAGGTGACAGCGGAAATGGCGTTCGGAAGCTTCAGCGTGTGCACTGCTTTCGGCTGAGGACAGGGTTAAGATACCGGAAAGTGTGGATATAGCTTCTGAAGAGACACATACATCAGCAGTTTCTTTGTGAATGCTGTAACACAAATGCAGTTGATCGTATGTGTCCACATTGCGACCCCCTAGATTGAACGGGCATGCCGATACTTAGCACATCAAATAAATCACACAAGTATGCCTACGAAATTGTGAATTCCGAATAAACACAAAAAGCCAAAAAGGTTAGAAAACACAGAGAATTTATCAAATCTACAGAGGTAAGTATACGTGAAAGATGCAGAAATGCACCCACAAGACATGTGAAACTACCTAACTGCAGTATCCATATACGTCATTCTCCCAACTTGTGGCAGTACTCGACGGTCTCATTCAGTGTGCTGGTTAGACGGATGACAAGACACAAGTGACACGGTTTGTGAGTACCCAAGAACAAATTATCGCGTCGATGGCCTAGCTCACATCTTATACGATACTAGAAATGGAGAGAGCTCTTACCGCAGCGCCCACTGACCACGATAGACTTATTCATCATCGACATGGGGAGTGCAGTTACAATGTGTTGGTCCAATGCAATCGCCACTGGCGTGTGGGCAAATACGTTTGGAAGCCTGTGGTCAGATGGTGTACTCGAAGATAACAGGCAGACCAAAAACTTCCACTGACAGTATATACGAAGTTCACTGACAATTGGATGGAGACTCCCAAGAGACTACACGAAGAACGGCTCAAAAGTGCAACACATCCAGGTATGCAATACACAAGATAATAACGGACAACCGAAACTAAGTTTTTGTGGTCTGCATGTCCAACAGTTGCATCGAGACGATTAGGAGAAGCGACACAGATCGGACTAGATACAACCCGTGTCGTTACAGACTTTTCCATACTCAAAAAATGACTAAGTTATGGTGGTATTCTTGGTACTAAACACACCAGATTGTTTCCTTTTCGAATAAAGTGCTGTGGCTAACGTCTAATTTCCACTCGTAGCAGTCGTACACCTCTTGGAGGTTCGTTATCTGGGTGTTCAACTTTAACCGAGTAGCACTTTTAGCCATATCACCCAAAGCAAGAGGACTGAAATACTGCCAAGTTGCCCGAGACTAAACAGGAACATTCGAGATGAACAGATTGGGTTCGTAATACACACCTTCAGCGCCAGTGGGCTCGTGCTTTAACGATTAAGTAATATCGAGCTCAATGTTAGCCTGGAAATTTCCACTGGCTTCGAATTACTTAGTCTAATGATTGACTGGAAAAAGGGAAATGCAGAGGCGTTTACATGAGAAAACTACAAAGTCAGTTATAACTTAAATACCTGAATTTAGTTCATGGTATGTATAATTTTATGGTATTTTGCGGATAAGGGTGGTTTTATACTCAAACCTAAACGAATTGATGGATGATACCGAAACCTGACTGTTAATACAGCACCAGTGCCCACTACAATGAGTTCATGCTCAAACCGGTAGATGGATCTCAACACCCGTCTGCGAGTTTACCTACAGACCGCATTCTGACGGATTTCGATCGAATTCACGGGTCCACAGACAGTAGCAAACCGCTTGTCTCATCCGTATTGGATGTTAGCCAACCGCACAAAATTCAATTACGCCTGTTTTGCAGTACACTTAGTTCATTAGGTTGAAGAAACGAAGTGCGGCTTGAAAAACTGTAGCAGTAAACTGTATCCAAATTAAGCAAATGGAATACATAGAATGTAAACGTTTCCAAAATTTCCAGAACTCCCCGAATAACTTGGAACAACCAAGTCACTAAAAGCTTCTGTTCTGGACTGGTCAAGGGCATATAAACACAGCCGGGACACCATTTTCTCCCATTGCATGTGCTTTTCAGTCACCTGGGGAAACTAAAAATTCTCATGTGTGTTAAATGCGGAGGTCTGCTCTGCGCTCGCTACATACGTCTACAACTCAAAAGCGAATTACGGGGCTTACTCGTCTCCTAGTTACTGCTCTCGAAAACCTTCGCTTAATAACGCCATACAAAGTTTGCAGCAATCCTTCGGTTTAAGCGGGAATCGCTTGCTTATTGTTAGCCAAGAAACTAAGCGAATTTCGCTGCAGTGCGTCTGACGCTTATTTCAAGATCTCTGAGGGCCTAAGCGAATTTCGCTGCAGTGCGTCTGACGCTTATTTCAAGATCTCTGAGGGCCTAACTGATTCCCCTACTGTTGGGAGGACTGTCTCCAAAAGAATAAATCCACTTTGCTAACGACTTGCCTTGTATACTGAAACTGTGTTTCTATATTTCGTCCTCTCACTGACNGCCAACCGCACAAAATTCAATTACGCCTGTTTTGCAGTACACTTAGTTCATTAGGTTGAAGAAACGAAGTGCGGCTTGAAAAACTGTAGCAGTAAACTGTATCCAAATTAAGCAAATGGAATACATAGAATGTAAACGTTTCCAAAATTTCCAGAACTCCCCGAATAACTTGGAACAACCAAGTCACTAAAAGCTTCTGTTCTGGACTGGTCAAGGGCATATAAACACAGCCGGGAAAAACTACCACGAAAACAAGAGGTAATATTGTTGAGAAAGGACCCCCGTAGAATCCGGTGACATGTGAATAAAAGTTACAATCTACAGGTTTTAGAAGGCATGTTAGTGAACAAAGGTTTCCGGTGAATGTTGCTCCAAAGGAAGAATCGTCAGATAAGTCTGTTCATCAACGCGTCTTTTATGACTCCATGGGACTCCTTCTTTTGTTTCGAATGGCCTACTGACGTCTGTAAACATTTGAGGTCTCTACATCCACGTCACCTCAAGCGTCGTTTGTGGTAGAATAGACATTTATATACAGACTTTTCAACTTACTTGGCGGATGTCGTACAAGGCTACCACACCTTCCATGCTTCCAGAATAGAGAATATTAGGGTCAGTGTTCGATGCTACCATAGCTTTCACCGGTTCTTTACCAGTGCCCATGAAGAACTGAGCTGTCTGTGTCCCCAGCGAGACATCCCATATGCGGACGCAAGCATCCGCGCCTGCACTGGTAGCGTGATGTCCGTCAGCGAAAAACGAGACCGCATTTACACACCTGAAAGCAAGTAGCACAATAACCGGCCGGTTGGCCAAATTTACCTACGCTTTGTGTATCGTCATTTTGCGCAGGTGATAGCTGTTTTTGTCTGTCGTGCAGATGCGTACGGTACCATTCTCCTCACCAACAATCACCAGCTTACCGTCGCTTCGAAACTGACAACAGGTCACCCGAGAACCATAGCCAGAAAGCTTTCGATACAGTTTGTCCCCATCGCATTTATACAGGTAAACCTACGATGCAGTTAGCCACAGGCGTACGACTAAGTACCTTATGTCCGCATGGTATGCAGAATCTTTTGGGTCCTTGGGAACACACTGAAATTGAGTTGACACGAGTAGTCAGTTGGACATCACGACCATTCTGACGAAGGGATGAAAAAAGAAGTAGACAGATACCTGAAATAACTGCCACACGTCCGAACCTTTTATCTGACACTGATAGGGCGCCACAACGCTGTACGTTTTGGAAACCATATTGAGCAGAGGAGGGTGAGTTCTGAAACAATAAAAAACGATGGCAACATGGAGATACGCAGAGTGCATCTAAATGTGATAGGAATGCGGTCATACAGAAAGGAAATCAGTTTGATAACTGATTTTAAGGCTAACGACTTTCCGATCGGTCAACGTCCTTTTAAATATGGAAAACCTGAACGATGAGCCTTGCAGACACTTGCATGTTGGAGGTTTCAAACGGAGCATCCACAGAAACTTAAGAGGCCCATCAAACGTCACCCGAGTTCGATCTCCACCACCCACAAAACCGACCCGAATGATTCAGATACGCCTTCTTCTATTGCACTAGTTTAATCTAAATAGTTCTTGGTTCGAAATTGTAGCAGTGTCACCGAGGTTGGAAATCATAAGGTATGATGTTAGCCTCGCTAGCCTAGGGGACATCCACGCCCTACACTTTGGAAAGCACTGGGGAACTAAGCGTCTGACCGTATGACTGAGCTGCACAACTTCCGAGTTGGCTCCCGAATGAGAAAACCAAACATCAACCAACTGAGACTTACGTACTGTTCTACCTAAGTGACCTCGACTTAGTCATGGAAACTTTCGAAGGGTAAGCACCACTACGTTCAATGTCCCCTGCCACCTGAACTAGCAATCACTGTCTCTCCACACCGCCTACGCCCCCAGAAGACTGTAGCTATGGTACGCACAAAGTCAACATTCACAACGCATTCAGCGCCTTGTTACAGCGGGGTAGGAGATCAGATATTGCTCTAGTTGCCTGGGATATGAATTGGCAATTAGGTAGACTTAGCGCTGCTGAGGCTTAATTTGGTGGTCGTTTGAGACTGGAATCGAGAGGCACGAAATGCGAAAGCTCGCTATAGTCATGTGCTAACCACAGACTGTTTCTCTGCGGTACTATTCTCCGAAACAACCGCTTGGTCACATGTTGTCCCGCATGCGAGTCAATTTCTAACACAGACAGGCCACAGTGCCATCATCTATATTCGGTGCGGGTCACTTGCTGACCGCTTGCGCTCTGGAAAGTCTACATGGATTCAGATCACGCGCTTGTCCGTTGCTGTTTCTCGTTGCGTTTTTCAAGGGCGTGCAACACGCACACACCTCAGCAGGCCATTGAGAAGTTGTCGAACTCTGATGTGAAGCAAGCCTACGAAAACCACCTATTGAAGTGCCTTTCGGATAGGAAGGCTTCTAATGTTGACCCTTACTGGAAGGTACCAACGGCACTACTGCAAGATTCTGAGTGCTCCGCCTGTGAAATTGCAATGGATTTCGATCACTAAAGCTACTCCTGATAGAAGGTACATTACCACTCGACCAACTGTTGGAATTCAGGAGAAAAATAGCACCCGTGCGAATCGAGAAGCTTGGTTGGTCCAGGAAAATGAAGAGATAGGGGTGGGAACCTTAAGAGTGTGCTCCTGATAGAAGGTACATTACCACTCGACCAACTGTTGGAATTCAGGAGAAAAATAGCACCCGTGCGAATCGAGAAGCTTGGTTGGTCCAGGAAACTGAAGAGATAGGGGTGAGAAACTTTAAGAGTGTGCATAAGAGGTTTCAGTTGACGCGTTGCAGGCCCAAACAGGTCTTCAGTGGGCGAAACAACAACCGATGAAAACGGCTTCCCTATGTTCTAGAAGGAGCGTCTGAATCGTTGGGTTGAACACCTTCAACAAGTCAACTGGCCACTTGAAGTTGCACAGCCGGATTCCCGAGCCGCAACGCAGTCGAGCAAAGTGAACTTCGAACCCTCCACGCCGGAAGCAAGAGGTCGTCTTTTGTCCCTCAAGCGTCACCTAGCTACTGTTCCTGACGAATTCCTAACTCTCTGTTCAGAGATGGAGGTAAAGTATGGAATCTGTACTCACATAACTGGATGATTAATTTGGACGAGAGATCGTCCCAACCAACTAAGATTATCATTTTCGAAAAGGGTACTTGCAGTGTGTGGTTATCAGAGAAAAATTTGCTTGTTCTCCCCCCTCCCCTCGTTGTAACTAACCTCTGTGCATCGGTTATTTTACATCGTCTTACGAAGGCGCGTGAAGAGAGGACCAGAAGACAGCAAGTAAGATTACGGCCAGGAAAGGATTGTGTGAACATCTTTACACTCTGTCAAGTGCTAGAACGAGGGTGTGCATACAAGCACCCTACAATTTTCATATTCCTTAACTGGAATAGTGCGTTCGGTCCTGTGGAATGGTTAACTGTCCTCAACATGCTTGTGCAGCAGGGTGCTCCTCAAAAGTTCGTGAACATCATGCGCTGTTTGTGTTCGCACGGTTTTCGGCAAGTGTAAGGGGAGCTCTCCAAACGCGACACGCGTACCCAACCGCTGTATTTTGGTTTCATCCCGTCATTATTGGGGTAATGAAGCGAACGTCGGAAGCTTTCCAAAGCCCGGTGTCCAGATCTCGGTGATCAATAAACTTCCCAACCTGAAATATAGAGACACTGTTCCCATCTTTGAAGAGCAGGAAGCGCAAGTGTTGCTTAAAACATCAACCAAGCTCATCCAGTCTGCGTCCACAGACTACAAAGTCACAGTAGATGATTCACAGTCTTTGAACACTGGAAGTTGTGGGACGCCATAAGTATCACGGAAGTTGCATTGAATCAGATGGTTGTGTGACAGATGAAGTGAATGCATGAATCTCGAAGGCCCGAATAGCTTTTGTTAGTTTGCGCCATTTGTGGCGTAAAAGACATATCACTGGATGCCAAAGAACGTGTATACCAGTCTACAGTGCAGGCTGTATTGTCTTACGAATATTGGACTTGGCCACTTCGGGGGAAGAAGCAGAGAAGTCTTCAGGTGTTTGAACAGTTATTCCTCTTAACGATAGCTCGAGTTGGCTGGGAGCAACCAGCTCACAAAAGGTGATCTAGAGAATGGCTTCTGGTGGAAAAGACGCTAATTCACTGAAAAAATTCACCCAGCACTGCAGACCAGGTTGGTTGGGGCCATGAGTTACGAATGCCCAGTCACCGCCTGCCGAGACCAGTGCAGTTTTCTGTACCTAATTCGAAATATCGGAGGTAGACAGAGTCAGTCAGCCATACTGTCATCAGTTACCGATGGCGCGGCTCATTAACTGAGTGCTGGTTGTTTTCGAACATATTTGTGAATTCCGACCGCGTCCAGAGTCTCTTCACCTTTCGTTTCACATGGCCGCATAAAGTGCGGGCAAGCAAGACTGGAAGAACCGAATGCTAGACGAGTTTACCACAACTTTCTTCTGGAGTTTCTGCCAAATGGTCCCCCGTTAGATGAAAATTCATTCTGTGACGAGTTTGCGACATCTTTCCACAAAGCTGAGAGTCTTGCCTGTGGCACGGCGCTGGCAGTACGGATCAAGCAATAGATTCCAGATGGAACAGTGGCACGGCTTAAATCACAGAATACTATCTCAATTAGTCCTGGAAATCATTTCGTTTGACGAATTATCAGACGTGAAGTGACAGTGAGTGTGGGGTGGGACGGCTCAGTAGTCAGAACCCGGATTTACTGACCGGAAGGGCCGTGGTTAAAACCCGACCTCTGCCTCTCGACTTCCCCAGTCTAAGCTTGGGCAACCTGGCAGTATCCCAGCTCTCGTGCTTCCTTCGGGTGGGTATGGCAGCAGGCACCGAAAGGGTGCCACAGCTGAACGATAATGTCAGCGCCAACCGTGAAGTCAGGTAGACACAGACAGCCAAGGAAATGGAAGGGATCTAGAAAGCCGGGAATGCCCGTAGATTATTTCAGTTGGTTTGTGCGACCAGTCCTGTGGGCAAAACCATCAAACATCGGAATGGAGTGGCCTCTTGAGTAAAGAAGAACGCCTCGACTGTTGAACCGAATACCTCGAACAGCAGCTAGGGTGGCCACCAGCTGCCACTCATTTGACGAGGAACTCTGGACGGTGAACGTGGAACCCCTTACAGAGTCGGAGGTTTTCGACTAGATATGCTCTCTCAAACACCAGCGAGCTTCAGGTCCGGATCACTCCACAGACGCATTGTTCAAAGATGGGTTGGTCCTTAGCCAGCTGGCAGGTGGTTTCCACACTCCAAAGGCCAGGATGAAGCTCCATCGTGTCGGATTCAGCGGATTAGTCACAGCGGCGCTGACCAAAGTCGTTCAACAAAGCGCTTGCACTCAACATGTCGTCGCACCCACCAGGTACCGCTAAGGCCAAATACCATCCCTTCTGGATTTGGTCATCACCAACAGAAGAAGCTTCGTCGATAGGGTGTTAAATGACGTCCAAATAGGACATAGTGACCACTGTGTGCTGAAATATTATTTCATTTGGTACTGAGCTAGAAATCCTGAACCTCAAACGTAGAATCAAATTTCTGCCATGCAGACTTCTCAGAAATGCGCATCTTTCTTGAAAAGTTAAAGTGGGATTGAACAAGTTAAACAGCGGAAGACTTATACAGGACCATCGTCCAGAAAATTCACGAGGCTGACGCGGTGTTCATCCCAAAGAAAACAGCAGGCAGTCGGATAAACCGCGAGCTACCCAAAAGGATTCGGCGTCTTCTAGAAAAGAGGTCCCAACTATTTTTTAAAAAGTTGACTACACCGGACACAGAAGATGANGAGAACGAGCGCACAAATCCCAGCTATAGCGCGATCCCAACTTCTCCTAGGGCATACAGATGAAGAGCGGACCCTCGGAGGAGAACCTTTATTACCGCTACCAAAGATAAAGTACAGCGGGCGCGTCGGCGAATATATATATATATATGTATATATTCTACGACCTTGGGAACGGTAAACTCGTTAGCACACACGAAGTGCAACTGGCCAATAAAAAAGCGCAGTTCTCTCGGAATAATGTACAACATGTCAGAAAGGGTGTGAAACTTCAAAGCTCAAATTTTCAGAAAGTATCTTTGGCGATAACCCGACGATTAAACGGTGTTTGGGAATGCTGTTATCCACAACACTCATGTGATATTGAAAAGTCCAGGAGACATTTTCTGAGTTTACACTATCCTTAGGAACGCAACGGTGCGTCAGTTTTTTCATGCGGCAGATGAAAAACAGCTGAGAGTCTCAC